GGTGGCATGGTGGTTAAGGGGTGCTGGACACCCACATGGCCAACCACAGTTCAAGTCCTGGACCTGGAAGCTTGCTTTCTCATTTTTCCTTTCTTTCTCTCTTTCCCACTCTGTCCCTCTTTGGTATATATGTATGTATGCATAAATAAATAAACAAACAAACAAACAAACAAATAAATAAATAAAGTTAGATTAAATAATTCTTTTCTTTTCTTTTCTTTTCTTTTTGAGAGGTTTTTGCTATGGGGCGTGTGCACTCACCAGAAAGAAACAGAGAGACAGAAAGTGAGAAATCACCCCCCCCCAGCAGGGATGGTCATGCCACAATCCTTTCTCCTCCATTCTCTACTAGGGATCTTGGGCATGCATGTACGTATGCCCTGCATATGTTTAAGACACTGGGTCCAGGACTTGAACCACAGTCGACTGCATGGGAGTTCAGCAACATAGTCATTATACCAAATGCTGGTCCCAATAAAATAATTCTTAAATGTACTTTATTTTTTAAATGTACAGAAAAATGAAGACGATATTACATATTTCCTATATATATTGTGCCCAGTGTCCCCTCTTATTATCTTATATTAGGATGGTATATTTGTTACAATTAATGACAGAACATTAATACTTGCATGTCATTATTAACAAGATCCATAGTTTATTCAAATTTCCTTAGTTTTTAGCTAATGAACTTTTCTGTACCAGTATACTACATTACTTTAAGTAGCCACTTCTCCTTAGACTCCTCTTGACTGTAACAGTCTTTCAGACCTTCCTTGTTTTAGAAGACTTGACAGTTTTGAGCAATACTTGTCAGGAGTATTATAGAATACCCTTTTTTTTTCCTATTGGTTTTCTCATTCTTAGACTTGAGTTACATGTTTTAGGGAGGAAGACTACAGAGATAAATGCTGTTGTCATCACATGTCGAGATGATTTTTTACTGTTCATATTGACTTGTTTACTTAAAAGATTTAAAATGTGTATCCTATACTATATGGAACTCACAAAGGGATGCATGTATATGTATCACTTACACACATAAACACATATACACGTGAATTACAATAAAATGACCACATGTACAGCTCCTCTGCTCCCCACCCTCCTCAAGGATTAAAACACTGTTTTTCTTGCATACCCAATGACAGCAAGAAACTTTCAAGACATGTATGAGTTTGTATTTTTTCTGTTATCAGTATTGTGGTAGAGATATGGATATTGGAGATAAGTTCAAAATCTATAAATAGAATATCTGATCTTTATACATAATTGAATTTTCTGAGTATGTGTGTTATTTATTTATCTATTTATATTTTCAATTGTTAGAAGGCCTGTGCACCTTCCAGAGAAAAAAAGATCTCCCATAATGGGGCATGGTCTCACTATAATCCTCTCTCTTCCATTATTTTTCATCACAGAAATATCTTTTGTATGAACACATATATACGCAGTGTGCTTTTCATGCTACCGGGGCTGAGATTTAAGTCGTGGTTGGTTATGTGGGATCTTGCTCCTAATATACAATGCTTACCCACTGGTCTACAGGCTTCCCTGAGGAGTGAGTAGTTTTTAAATATCCATATTTTTCAGGAATAAAATTATTGAGTTCAGGCAGAAAGGGAAAATAGGCATTCATGGAATAACATAGTTTCTTCTCATTGAATTCTAATGTTTTGAAATGAAGCCTATAAAAATTACAGAAGTAAATTAATCTTCAGTAGGACACCTTACCTAAATTCTTAACAAAGATGTAAGCTATGGGGCTAGCAAAACAAGCATAGGAGGTTTATTCTAAAATATAGAAACATGATTTTTCTTTTTTTATGAGTTTTTTTTTTTCTTTTGAGAGTTTTTTGCTATAGGGTACGTGCGCTCGCCAGAAAAACAGATAGAGACAGAGAGACAGAAAGCGAGAAATCACCCCCAGGGGGGATGGCCAAGCTGCAATCCCTTCTCCTCCATTCTCCTCTCGGGATCTTGGGCTCTTGGGCACGCATGCACACGCACCCGGCGTGAGTTTAAGTCACCAGTCTGGGACTTAAACCACGGTCGACTACATGGGAGTTTAGCAACATAGCCATTACGGTAACTGCTGGTCTCGAAACATGATTTTTCTAACCTAGATTGTAAATAGTTTTCTTATAATTTCTTAATTTTTTCTTGCACTGCTTTCATTAGACAAGTATGAAATGGTTCTAACGGGGCTGTAGAAATAGACTTTTTCTGTTTATTTTTGGAAGAGGAAGCCTTAATTATCATCATCTGTGTTGTGTCTCAACTTAATAAATAAGACTTGGGAGTAGATGTGTATTATAGACTGCAAAATTGTAGCTAATTGGTCATTAAAAAGGGCAAAGGCATATTAATAGTTGGTTTATGTTTTGCTCAGCTTTCGAATACTTCTGTTTATAAATAATGTGATGTGAGTGATATCTATCTTCTACATATGTGGATCATGTTTCACATCCAAAGATATTTAGCTTTAGAATGGTTTGTTTATATGTAAGTTAGGCCTTGTGATCATCTGGAAACCAGAACAGCATTTAAAATTCAATATTGAAATGTTAAATAAAATCAACTTGCAAATATTGAAGTAAGCTACTCATTTAGTCTCTTGTGGATCTTCCCGAGCTCCGCCCCTGAGAAATGATCCAGGGACATCGATGGGATCACGTAGCTGCAGCAGAGTAGTCTCTCACACTCATCCTCGTAAGTGAGGAATCCAGGGCCGGAACTGGGGGAGGCATACTGGTGCCGGTGAGGTTTCTGTAATATTTTTCTTTGTAATATTGCTAGGCTGTGGGCTAACTATGCAAATAGGAGTAACTAACAGTCAATATCAGCAAATGAGTAAAACTGAAAGGGTGATGAAATCTCTATCACAGTCCTCCCTTACTTTGAATTTGCTAGAATTAATGGAGTGTTACCATGTGTTAGGCATTGAACTAAGTATTCCATAGTCACAGATAAAATGAAAAATTCTTTACATCAAGAAACTCATCACTGGGACCAGCAGTTGGGATAATGGCACTCACTCCATGTAGTCAACCGCAGTTTGAGGCCCGGACCCGGTGGCATAAACTCATGCCAGGCGCGTGTGCATGCGTGCCTGAGATCCTGAGAGGAGAATGGAGGAGAAGGGATTGCAGTGTGGCCATCCCCCTGGGGGGTGATTTCGTGCTTTCTGTCTCTGTCTTTCTGGTGAGCCCACGTGCCTTATAGCAAAAACCTCTCAAAAAAGAAAGAAACTCATCACCAGGTGGACTAAATGCTCAACTAAAAGGTCTATTAGAATTCAGTGTGCTAGAGGAATTCACAGCTGTGGAAACATATAGTCGCACCGCCCAAGCTGGCCTGGAGGATAGGGGTCGGGGTAACTATCAAGAGACACTGCTATCTGGGTTGAACCATAACGAGTAATTGTGTCAGCTAAACAAGGAGGGGTGTGGGAAAGCTTTTCTGGCAAAAGGATCAGCTGATGTGAAGGGATGCACTTTCAGAAAAATTGGGTAATTTTAAACTGTTCTTTGTGGGCTGGAGAACTGAATGATTTTAACAGAATATCAAGAAGAGTCTAGAAGGACAAAAGACTTTTTAGTACCAGGTAATCCAGTCTGACTTGATCCTGAGATTTAAAGATAGCCTTCAAAGAGGGCCAGCAGGTGACGTGACATGATGGTTAAGAGCATTGGACTCCCTCTCTCTTTCTCTCTGTCTCACTCACTGTGTCCCTCTTTGGTCAAAACTTAAATAAATAAATAAAGTTAAAATAAAAAGTAATAAAAAAAAAAAGTCTTCAAAGGATTTTAGACGTGATCAGCTCCACTTTTTTTTTTTTTTTCCTTCTGTTGGGCATGTGCATTATCCAGAGAAAAAGAGGGAAGGAAAGTAACATCCCACCCCAGTGGGAGGATGGCTACACTGCATTCCCTTCTCCTCTAGTCTTTTCTCAGGATTTTGGACATGCACATATACATGCCTGGTGTGATTTTTTAAACTGCTGGGTCTGGAACTCAAACCACATAGATAGCCATGTGGAATCCAACACCTTAATTCCACACCACCTGTAGACCCCAGATCAGTTCCACATTTTAAAATAAGCATTTTCACTGTTGTGTTGGCAATAGAAGAAAGCAAGACTTCAGAGAGACTTTCTGAGATTGTTCTAATAATGGAGAACAGAGGTGTTACTGGAGGTGACAGTATGAGTGGCATTATCCTTAATGCCTTTTCTCAATGTGTATAAATGCAAGAAAATAATAAGAAGCAATAAGTCCTAGTGATACATTGGAATAAGGTATCAAGGGAGATACCAATGTTTAGAGACTGGTTATCATATCCTTCTTTTTAAGCATAGCACTGTTTATGATCCAGAAACCTTAAAGATAATTAGTTCTGTCTCCACTTTTCCTTTGCTTTCATATTATAATCCCTTTATATATTCAGAAGCTTAAATAATTAGAATAAACAGATTTGCATAAGCAATATGATTTCAAAGGCAAAAACCAACTTGTAAAATAACACATTCTACAAATGTGCCCAGTCCTTACTTCATAAATAAGGAGATTTTTTTTTCCCCCACACCAGTACTCACAAACAGCTTATAAAAAAGTTTGAGAACACTCAGAAAGAAGATGAAAATGAGTCTTGCATCACTGAGGAAATATTCACACTTCAGTGAAGATCAAGTTGGTCAGAAATTAGATTAAAAGAAAATAATCTTTTGTTTTGTTCTGTTAGCATTTGAAATTGTGCCCCAGTGCTTTTCTTTGTATATTCAGCAGATTTTTTTTTTTTCTTCTGTAATGAAAAGTGCTTGTAAAAGTATTTCCCTTCTATCTGGGAAACTATGTCCTTGCCAACAGCTAAGGTCTTAGTTTATAAAATACCAAGTCCAGAGAACAGTGGGTTTTGAAAAGTGGCCTCTTAGCAAATTTAATCTCTGATCTCTTGTCTTTCTAAAATAATTATTGTTTTATCTTTTTTTTTTTCCCCAGGATAAGCAGAAGCTACAGGAGAGTTTAAGGCAAGGTGCAATCATTATTGCTGCCTTAATCAAAGAAAGGAATTCTGGACTCATTGGTCAGCTACTGGTAGCATGAAGAACATTGAAAATTACATAATAAACTTTAAAAATGATTATCTATTGTGCTTGACACCTTTCCACCCCGTTGTATGTGGAGAATGCTTCTTTTGCATGTAGCCTTATCGTTTGTAGGATATGATACTTAGATTATAAAAGAGAATCAGTGCTTATATTTGCAAAATAAGGAATGGTTTTATGTATGTCACCTATCGGTTGAACTAGAAAAGAGTAAATAAGCGGCAATAATAGCTTTCATGTTAAGACTCTTCAAAAAAGCATGAAAGATCAGATAGACATAATGTTGGTGGAGCTGTTCCTTCAAGGAATAAGAATTCAGAAGATTTTAGCTATTTCCTTAACTATACATTAACGAATCACAGTGTAACGAAACCAATGAGAAGCTTCAGAATTATTCTTCATTCTGAAATTGACTTCTCATCACGTGATATTGTATCCTTTTGTCTTGTATTGAATTCTAAAAGAAAAGAGAGAGGGAGCCAGCAGGTGCCATCTGGGTACAGCACTGGACTCCCACATAACGGACTGAGGTTCGAGTCCCAGACCCGGTGGCTTGAAACTCATGTTGTGAGCACGTGTGCATGCCTGCCAAACACTCCAAGAGGAAGGAGAAGGGGTTGTGACATGCTATCCTCCTGCAGGGTGATTTCTCACTCTCTCTCCCTATTTTTGTGTGTCTCTGGTAAGTGCATGTCCACTATAACAAAAATCTCTCTCAAAAAAAAAAAAAAGGGGGAATAACAGGGATTTGAACTGTATAGTTCAAATGTATTCACCACTTGCCTCATATTAATTTAGGCCCCTAAAGGAAATGTAATCTCCTTTCCTTTTCTTTTTTTTAAATTGTTTTCCTGGGTTTATGAAATATAGCGTGACTTATTTTATAAAGAGTCTCTAATTTTTCTGAATAGGTTAAAAAGAAGTCTGGAAAGTGTCACAAACGTTATTTTTGTCAATTCCTGATAAGTCATTGTCTACAAGGCTGGGAATTTATTATGCATCACATGATCAAGTTACTTGCAAGTTAATATTTTGATATAGATATTACCTTTTTAAATCAAGTTTTTATTCTTTCCAATTTGCGTTGGTATATATATTGAAAATTTTAAAAATATTTTATAATCATGTATGTCCAGTTATTAGAAATGCCTTGTATTCTGTTATTTTATCAAAACAGATTAGATTATGCCAAAGTTTAGATTCCACACACAAACTATAAAAGTTAAATAAAAGTTTTCAACTAAAGATAGATTTTAAAATAGCAACTTTTGTGAATTGCTTCTGAACATGTAGGATATTTTTTCTATATTCCTCAAACATCTATATAATTGGAGATTGTTTGGGGTGGAGAGAAGTTTTTGCTATAGGGCATGCGCGCTCACCAGAAAGACAGAGACAGAGAGACAGAAAGCGATAAATCACCCCCAGGGGGGATGGCCATGCTACAATCCCTTCTCCATTCTCGTCTCGGGATCTTGGGCATGCATATACACGCACCTGTTATGAGTTTAAGCCACCGGGTCCAGGACTCGAACTGCGGTTGACTACATGGGAGTCCAGTGACATAGCCATTATGCCAACAGCTGGTCCTAGAGAATTTATATTTTATGTTTAAGTAATAATTATCAGAATATAAAGGACATGGACATGGGCTAGTGATTGTAATTCATTCTCCCAAATGAATTATTTTGTTTGAGTGTAGGATTAGATGTAAATTCCTGGGCTTGCCTTTCTCTTTCTCTCTCTCTCTCTCTCTCTTTAGCAATGTTGGAAATGTAAAAAAAAAATTGGCTAGCTTAAATTAGGAATGAAAATAGTTGGGTAGTGTGTAGATCTGGGTTAGAATGTCTGTGTCCCCATTAAGGTGATCAACTGTAGCAAAGTCCACCACACACCTCTGGAAGTCTTCAGGTGAAAATGTTTTAAGACTTGGAAAGGGCTCATAAAAACAGAAGGGTAAGTGCTCTCAAGGGTTTTAAAAACATCTTGAGATGCGACCAGCAGTTAGCATAATGGCTATGTCACTGGACTTCCATGTAGTCGACCGCGGTTCGCATCCCGGACCCGGTGGCTTAAAACTCACACCGGCCGCATGTGCGTGCATTCCCAGGATCCCGAGAGGAGAATGGAGGAGAAAGGATTGTGGCATGGCCATCCCCCCTGGGTGGTGATTTCTCGCTTTCTGTCTCTGTCTCTCTCTGTCTGTCTGGCGAGCACACGTGCCCTATAGCAAAAACCACTCAAAAAAAAAAAAAAAAAGATCTTGAGGGTCTTTAATAAGAAAACAGGAATCTGGGCATACCTATGGTATAGCAAAATCTTTCTGGTATACTGGTTAACCGATTTCAATGTAAGAAATATTATAGCAGATAAGAATTTATCCCAGAGCAGTATGAGTTTACTTTAGATAACCAGAAACATTTAGTGCAATTAGATTTAGTTAATAAAATATTAATTAGTGCTATTACAAAGCAATTCAAAGCATTGAACATTTTAAAAAATAAAATAGAATCTCCTCACATCCTTCGCTGTGCAGATGAGGAAATTGAAACTCAAGGATTTTAATTATCTGACCGAAAGTCATAGGGCTGAATAATAAGAGGAAGGGCTTAAACTCAGAAAGGCTGATAATACGTGTAAGCTTATGGCTGTGTAACAGTGACTCCTGGCAGAGACGTGCAAAGATAGGCTGTAGAAAGATGCCAGAGGCTCTGAATGAGCATGGGAGGAATAAGCAAGGAGAGCAGTGCAGAAATGTCCCATGACAGGTGAAAGTCCTTCCCAGCCACCTTTCCAACATGTGGAAATTGTAGTAGAGGTTAAGACGTGGAGAGAATTGTTGGTCAAGAAAGAAATTATTCTACTGTTTGTTAAGAGATCTGGAGGTCAAGGCCAGCAGGTGGCATGGTGATTAAGGCAGCCGGATCCCACATGACCAGCTGCATGGTTTGAGACCTGGGTCTGGTGGCTTGAAAAACAGATGGGTGTGTGTACATGTGTGCCCACAATCTTGGAAGGAGGAAGGGACAAGAAGGAATCGTGGTGTGACAATCTCCCATGAGAGGTGTTTGCTTTCTCACTTTCCCTGTTTCTCTCCAATTCAGCAAATTAGATTGAGAGAATGAGAGAGATTTGATCTATCCAGGGGCAATTTTACAATTATATCCTTATCACTGTTTTTATTCACTCACTTACTTTATAGTCCTTCTCACTTTATTTTCCAAAATCTCTTAAAAAGTAACAGTATGCCTCAAGGTTGCTCAAATTGCTTCCACTATGGGTGATTTTGTGGAAAGGCCACATTATTTATGTATTTATGCTACTTAATTAAATATAATTTAGTCTTTTTAAAAATTCAACAGGATAACTGATAGTTCACTTAATGACATACAATGGTAAGAGGTAGTATTTATACAATGAGTTATTGCAAATATATTTATCTCCAGATACAAATCAGACCCTTTTACTCCTTTTACTCCATTGTGGTAATTTTAAGCATCTTACATTGTTTTAAATGGAAGAATATTTCAAAAACATTGTCATGCTAATTTATAATTATCAAGTCTTACATTATATATATATATAAATATGATGATCACTGTATAAAATGCAGAACTCTTTGTATTAAAATCTTACATTTTTCTTTATATTAATATTGAAAGTAATTATGGACTCACAGAAGCATTAAATCATAACATTTTAATTAAAAAGTTCAACACACTTAGGGACCATCCCCATAGTACAATAGCTAAGTGCAATGCATTAGAAACTAAATTCCATATGGCTGGCCTTAGTTCAAATCCTGGTTCCAGGAGCTTGAAATGTCCTTCCCAGCCACCTTTCCAACATGAAATGTGTATGTGCTTGTCCACAGTTCTGATGGGATGAAGAAATATAGGAGAAGGGATTGTGGCATAGCCAGGCCCCATTGGGAATTGCTTTCTCTTTTTTTTTTTTTTTTTGAGAGGTTTTTGCTATAGGGTGCGTGCGCTCGCCAGACAGACAGACAGACAGACACAGAGAGACAGAAAGCGAGAAATCACCTCCCAAAGGGGATGGCCATGCCGCAATCCCTTCTCCTCCATTCTCCTCTCGGGATCTTGGGCACGCACGCACACGCACCTGGCGTGAGTTTTAAGCCTCCGGGTCCGGGACGCGAACCATGGTTGACTACGTGGGAGTCCAGCGACATAGCCATTACGCTAACTGCTAGTTCTCGGGAATTGCTTTCTCTCTGGCAAGTGTAAACACCCTGATAAAAACGAACAAGCAAACAAACAAACCAAAACACATCTGGAAAAAGATCGAATTTATTTTAAAAGTATAATTTGAAATTAACTGAATAAATGAAAGATTTTAATTGATTAGCGTTTGTTAGCATGGCTTAAAGTTGATGGATTAGGAGTGGTGTATAAAGGTATGGTTGACATTGTAGTATTTAGATATGTTCTTATATGTTTTACTCTCAATTGTGAAAAATGTGTGCATATTAAGATAGAAAGTAAAAAAAAAAACTACTTTTAAAGATTCAAAATATGTTTTCTTTACGAAACAAAATATAAGTAATAGGTAAGTACATTATTGATATTTTAAAGTGTAATGACAATTTTCAGTTAGTGTATATGTACATATATTTAACTAACTCAGTCATAATTGAATAAGTATAACATCTATTCTCAAAATACAGCAATGTGATGTTTTTATATTATGGAAAGATAGAACTTGAAATCCAGATCTATTCTGTAAAAAAATTAAAAATTTGCCAAACCAGAAGTGTCCATGAGATTTTTTTCTTCACCTCATTTTTAGCAGGTTTTGTAGCAGTGACAGTGGCTGCTAATTTTATAAAAGCTGTACTCAGCTCAGGCACAGTGTAAAGAGCAGTGTGATCACTTAGTGTCTGTGAGGAGTTGAATTATTGTTCAAAACATATTTTTTTTCTCTCCCTTACCTTTGCTAGGGGAAATACATATTTTCCTTTCAGACTTGAGGATTAATCACGTGACCTCCTTTAACCAGTAGTGTACCAGAAGAAGTATGCCACCGAAACTGAGACTAGGCCTTAAGGCACCTTATGTTTCTGCCTGCTTTCTTCTGCTTTTGCAGAATCTAGCTTTCTGTCTCCAGAAGGAAGAGCCTAGATCGGCTGCCCTTCACCTAACACAATGGATGAAAAGCCCAGCTGAGGTAGAACCACCTAGTGCAGATGATCTCCGGTAACATTCGACCTAAATAAGTCTCTTTCTCTCTCTCTCTCTCTGTTGTCAGTACTAAGTGTTGACCCTCTTTATTACATGCTAACACTGGTAACCAAGGAAAGGAAATCTGTAACTGTTGCCATGTGTAGGGTCCAGGTACTTGCCTTCCTAAGTCTGGGATGTATCTGGAGACAAACATTTTACTAAAGTAGACATTTATAGGAGTTACAGATCTGAACAGTGATCCCATAGTACTATGAGGTTCTGAGGCAATTTTATTCCCTAGTCAGTAGTTTCTGAAA